CCCCCACCCCGGTTCCGCCGCTTTGCCTCCCTCCTGCCCGCCGCCGCCCCCCCCCCGAGGGGGTGGGGGGTGGGGAGAGACGACTGGGCGCCCGAAGCCCGAGCGTTCCCCTCCAGCGGCTCCGGCGCCGCGGGGCCTACGCCCGCCCTCGGTGGGCTCCGCTCGCGGTCCCCCCGGGCGCGCGCAGGGACAGCCACCAACTCCGCACCTCAGTTTGTAAAACCACCTGGCGACGTGCGCACCCTGGTGCCGCCGTCCCCGCCCGCGTGCAAACTCCGCGCCCCTCTTCCAGGTTCCCTCCGAGTCTCCCCGCCCCCAGCCAGGTGCCGGCCTCCCCGCTGTCCCCGCTCTTCTGCCGTCCAGCAGCTGCTCTCCCGCCACGTCGCCCTGCAGAATATGGGCAGCGCTGAGTGGGGCTGTGTTTTGTAAATTAGGCAACACGGGAGACACGCGGACGAGTACAGAAAATAGTATTGACGACACCCACGCCCCCCACTCGAGATTAAACCTAAAACACTCTGCTCCACTTGCTTGGTATTTATTAAAGATAAATTTAGACCTAACTAAAGCCCCACGCTTATTCTTTCTCTTTCCTCCCTAGTCGCTGTTGTGCGTATCGTTCTACTCATGTTTTTATAGTTTTATTACGTATGATACATGAATCTGCCAACTGCGCTGAGTACCAACTTCTGTTTTTTAGTTTTACAAAAATGACATCATGCTGAATAGTCTTTTGCAACCTTTGTCGTTTCCTATTATGTTTTTGAGACTCGTTTATGATTTAACTGTGTAGTAGTATTTCATTGTTTTTCACGTGTCTCAGAGCATATAGCTGGATTGCTTAGAATTTTTAGCGTGAGACTGTATCTCTGCTAGCTAGAGTTTAGCTTGTTTTGTTATGATTGGATTAATTTTAATTATAACTGAATTCTTCTGTTTTATTTTGTGGTATTTACCATACTTTTTCTTCTTACTTCCTGCTTTCCTGTTAATGTTGTCTGGGTTCAGTTTCAGAGAACAGAATTCATTCTGGAAACTTTAAGTACAAAAGGATTTACTCTAGGGTATAAAATGGCTTAAGGATTTCTCTGGAGGGTGAAGATTCTAGGTTGGCCATTCAGGAGTGACTTTGGGAGCCACTTTGAGACTCTGAGAGCAGAACCAGGCCACCAGAAGAGCCACTGCCCCTTCTGAAATCTGGAAGCTACTTACTGAATTGGAAAGCTGTCCCTACAGCTGCCAGCTTCTGAACCTGTACAGCAATTGTGATGATAAGACTCCACTGAAGAGAAATCAGACACCTCCCCGGCTGTCCTCACAAACAGAAACAGCACACGCCCAGACCCTGCTTCACTTTCGCCTTACAAACCAAATCAGAGGGAAAATCTGATTGGAAGAGCCAAAATGGCATCCAGAATCCCAGCTTTCGAAATACAGCAAGGCACAGTTGGACGTCGGAATGGGTATTGAACTAATTCCACAATGTTCATCCACCGATTCACCAAGGCAGTTGTCCACCATAGCTCCCTTTTATTGCCCCGAATGACTGGTTCTTATTTCCATATTTCTCCCATCTGATTTGGAAGATATCCTATTCCATTTCTATCCTTATTATGGTTAGCCTGATCATTTTTAATCCCTTAATCAAATAAATACACGTGAGTTGTTTAGCAATAGTTTAACAAGGCCCATAATTTTAAAAAGAAGCAATTTCCAATTCCCACTGGAAATAAATTTGTCCTGCTGTTTTGTGATTTTTGTTTTCAGTTTTAGATATTAAGTATTTATTTTCTGTTATGGAAAAGGATGCCCTGGCTATTTTGTATCCTCAACAAAAATATGATCTTCCCTGCTCCCATTCTTTCACCGTGGTTATATGATCATTTTTGGTAAGTCACTAAGTGCTTACATAGTGTGCTATAGTTCCATTTTTATACTGTTGGGGGGGGGTAATCACGGCCTCTGCTTTTTATTTGCTTACATTCTTATCAACCCATTGCAAACTCTTTCCCAAACTCTCCAACAGAGCAGTGGAAGACATCACTGTGGGTGTGAATGGTCAGCTGGGGGGGAACTTCTCTCCCGGAGTACACTGATCTCTTGTTCCGCCCGGACTGCTTGCGCTACGGGCCTACTGAGTGCTGTCGGTGCTGGCCCTGTCCTCACCTCCATCCCGTCATCCCCCGTCCTCTGACCTGCTTCCTACACCCCGGGTTGTGGTCTGCTTCACATCCTCCTTCATTTTAGTGGAGAACATTCTCCCAGTTTCCTGACGGGGGGGAGAAAAAGAGTACAGAAAAGATAAAATCCTTGCAACCGAGTGTGTGTTCATTTTACTCTCCTATTTGATTGACAGTCTGGCTAAGAATAGTCTGGTTCGCGGGAAGTCTTGTTCACTTAGATCTCTGAATGTATTGCTTCACTGTTTTCTCGCTTCTCAGGTTGCTTTTGAGAAGGCCACTCACATTCTGTTTTCTTTGTGGCTGACCTGGTTTTCGAGAGCCGGTATTGTTTGTTTATTTTTGTTTTGTCTCCCTCCCCATTCTCTGCAGGCTTAGTGTGCTGATGTTTTATGACGATGTGCCTTGGTGTGGAGCTTTCGTTGTCCGCTGTGCAGGGCGGCGATACGTGTGCAGAAACCGGACACCTCACCCTTCAGTTCTGAAAGCCTGTCTTATTGTTTGGTAATTTTCACTTACTTTGCTCTCTCTTTCTGGAATATCTCTCAGTCAGCTAATAGGTCTTCTACAATGCTCTTCCAATTTTCTTCTATTTTCTATTGCTTTTCATCTCGTTGTTGTTCTTCTGTCTCCTGATACGGTTTCTCAACTTTATCCTCTGACCCTTCTATTCAACTTTTATTTCTGTGATTACCTTTTTAATTTCTAAGAGCTTTTTCCTGGTTTCTGAATATTTCTTTTCTTTTTAATTTTTTTTTTCCAACGTTTATTTATTTTTGGGACAGAGAGAGACAGAGCATGAACGGGAGAGGGGCAGAGAGAGAGGGAGACACAGAATCGGAAACAGGCTCCAGGCTCCGAGCCGTCAGCCCAGAGCCCGACGCGGGGCTCGAACTCACGGACCGCGAGATCGTGACCTGGCTGAAGTCGGACGCTTAACCGACTGCGCCACCCAGGCGCCCCTGAATATTTCTTTTCTAACAGCATCCTGTACTCATTTCATAGACGTGCTATTAATTACAGGTTGTTTGTTTCTGCTTTTACATTTTCTTCTACTCCTTACATTGTCTGCCTCTGTCTTGTCGGAAGTCAGTTTTTTAGTTTGTTCACTTTGATCTCCATCGAGAGGCTTTCCCCAAATCTCTGGTGATCCTTTACTCTAAATTCATAATTTAGACAGAGATGCTAAATATGTATAATTCCTTGTTTCTGGAAATAAAAATGTTTTAAAATATGTATTTTTAAGTATTCTGTAGCAGAGATTGCTAGTTATCTCCCAATACTCAGTCTCCCCTGCTTCCTTTATTAAAAGAAACCCTGACCTTTAGCTGGGCACAGCTTCACCCAAGTAAAGCCAGTTAAAGACTACATTTCCCACTCTCCCCTGCAAATAGGTGTGGTCATGTGATTATGTTTCACCCAATAGAGGGTGAGCAGAAGTAGTACAGGCAACTTTCTCTAGCAGTTACTTGACAAAAGGAGAGTGGACTCTTTCCACTTCTCACTGGCTGGAGTATGGTTGCAGTAACTACATTGGGAGGAGCTATCTTAGACCATTAGATAAAAACTATGTGTTGAGAATGACAGAACAATGGTAGCAAAGGGACCTGGGACCCCAGCACTGTGGAACCACAATTATTAGCTCTGGACTCCTTCTAGAGCATTATGTGACTGAAAGATAACAATCAATTTTGTTTAAAGCCTTGTTATTTTGGCCTTTGTCACAGGAATCAAACCAGGACCAGTTATATTTAAATGAAAAAAAAATTCGTCTAAACATATCAACATATGGTTAACAATGGTTGCCTTTGGGGATGTAGAGACTACTGGGAAAATTATCTTCTGATTTACACATTTCTTTCTCTCTCTCTCTCTCTTTTTTTTTTTTTTTTTTTTTTTTATTTTTGAGAGAGAGAGAAAGCAGGGAGGGGCAGAGAGAGGAGCGAGAGAATCCCAAGCAGGCCCCGTGCTGTCAGCACACTGCCCGATTTGGGGCTTGAACTCATGAACCATGAGATCATGACCTGAGTCAAAATCAAGAGTCAGATGCTTAACTGACTGAGCCACCCAGACACCCCTGTTCTACACATTTCTAAATGATATGCATTTTTAAATATTTTTTAATGGTTATTTTTATTTTTATTTTTGAGAGACACAGAGCATGAATGGGGGAGGGACAGAGAGAGAGGGAGATACAGAATCCAAAGCAGTCTCCAGGCTCTGAGCTGTCAACACAGAGCCTGCCGCAGGGCTCGAACTCACAAACCATGAGATCATGACCTGAGCCGAAATCGGACGCTCAACCGACTGAGCCACCCAGGTGGCCCTAAATGATATGCATTTTTAAAAAGAAGTATGTATTTCTATTAACATCAGGAAAAAATAAAAAAGAATGAATGCCATTTAGTTTTAAACAACTGACTGTAAGCTCTGTGTGCATGTGCCGGGCTTCTTGACTTGTGAATTCGCTGTAGGGTATTGAGAGAAACCCAGAGTTTTCATTGCTTGTCCCCCAGATAACAGTATCCCTAGGATCGGTTTTGTCTTGTTCTGTTTTGTCTTACACACTCAGTTCCTCCCACCTGAGGAATCTTCCAGTCTACCCTCCAGGACAATAAGCCTGGCTGCTGCATTCTGAGCGCCAAGTAGGAAAAAAGACCTAAGTGTCTCACCATTTGATGTGGCTTGCTCTTTACCCATTTTCAGATGATCCCTCACTCCCAGCTTTTTCTTTGCCTTACCTAAAGTTCAGAATCTCTTTGGCTCAGTTTCCCTAGAAGTATAACCTCCTGTCCACGGTCACGGGGAAAGGAGTCATCACTTATCTTTGAGCAATCAGGGAGGGGATCTGGGCGTCTAATTACTCCTTGCACACGCTTTCAAGCAATATTTGTGTTTTCAGCCCTGTCCCTCCCTTCCTCTAGTGCCTCTGGTCCACTCTCTGAGATTCTTTGATGTAAATCATGACTCTCAGGCATTTGGTTTCAGCTTTCTTTGTTCCCCTTTGTCACTCACAACTGATGTATGTGTGATGGGCCATGGCCAGGTCTTCCAGCAGAAAGTCCCCACCTGGACAAAAGTGCAAAGCTAAGGCACAGGCAAGGAAAGGGGGCATAAGTTGGACACCCCAAGAATTTCAAGACCTGGGGGTGCCTGGCTGGCTCAGTCAGTTAGGCATCTGACTTCAGCTCAGGTCATGATCTTGTGGTTCATGAGTTCGAGCCCCCTCATTGGGCTCTGTGCTGACAGC